CTGGTTTCTAATGCTCTTTATTCTTTATTGCACTGCCCAGTTTCTTGTTTAATTTCCCCTCAGTTGGCCAGCTCAGTTTTAGTTCAGTGTCTTTGGCCTGCTATCCTGCATCCTGATCTTCTTGTACACGTCACATACCTCGTTTCCTACACCAACCACTACTTCAGTCAAACTTACCTTCTAGTTTGTGCTGGGCTAAAGCCTAACAGCTTCCCCTGCTACTTATTTGGTGGTAGTCATTTTAACAAGCTTTCATGTAGCGGCTAAGTCCCAATCATTCCAATAGTGTGGAAAACTCAGGTGCCAATTAAATATTTATGAGCATGGACCTACAAATAGAAAGAATAGGAAATCACCTAAGAAATAGAATGAGATCATACATGTATTCACTGAACATCAGTCATCCTGCAGTAACAAGGAAATTAGATAATATGAGACTTGAATGTAGGGCCCTTGGACCATGACAATTCTTATTTGAAAGGCATTATATTGATGTTGTCAGAGGTCTAGACTTGGTTTAGCATTGCATGAGAACCTAAAATCTCAAGGTAATGTCTTGGAAGCCTGCTGTCCACATTCTGTGTTATGGAATGAACTGTGTCTACCCAAGTTTGTACACAGAAAGCCTTAAGTTCATGTTGTTGATGATAGGAGTTCTAAAAAGGGAAAGTTAATGTTGCTCTGTTATGGTGGGCTCTCATTCCATCAGACCAGTGCCCTCATAGACAAGACAACTGGTATACCCAGATGTAACAGATGTGTGCACACACAGAGGAAGACTGGGGGCACAGGGTGGTGACCGCAAGGCAGAGAGGGAGGCCTCAGGAGAAGCAAACAAGCATACAGCTGACACCTTGATAGTGCTCTGGCTTCCATAACGGTGAGAAAAGAAATAACTGTTGTCTCAGTCACCCAATATAGTACTTTGTTATGGCAACCCTTAATCCAACTCAGACCTCTGGAGAGTATTTATTCTTAGTAAGATCAGTTCACAAATTAATGGGAAAATTACTGGTGATGATAGAATTGCTTTTCTAGTGTCTTAAACATTGGAATTAAATATAGGAACAGTCTTCAAATAATAACATTAAAAATTGAAGTAGTTTTAGCTACAAGAAACTTTAATATTAGAGGATAAGTATTTCAACAGTAAACATTTGCTATTTCTGTTTAAAATGTGATGTTTGGATAATGAATGCATACATGATTTTAAATTAGAAGCTTGTAGTTTTATAAGGTATTGGGGAAGCCTTCCTCCTGGGGTGAGGTTCAGAGGCATGGTAAAACTTCCTTGGGGAACCTAGTGTGAGTGTTGACAGTGTGTGTAGAATACACATACCATGGTTTTCTTCCCCCTGGATGTTTAGAGCCTGAAGACTGTTCCCTTACAGAGACTGCTTCCACTGAGAGTAACTGAGCCTATATCCTTGTTCCAGCTATATAATACAAACCCTACCTCCTTGTTTATCCCTATATAAGAACCCCCCACACTTCTTGTTCAGCTATATGTAATAACTCTGCCTTTCTGTTCAACTCTATTTGATAAACAAGATGAGCTTCCAGGAGTGCTGTGGTTTCTCCACCAGAGACCCCAGAGCGGATATTCAATTCACACACCTGAACCCAGGTTTCCTGTGAGTATGCCTGGGTGCATGGCTTTTCTTAATTTTCTTCTGGCCACAGTCAGGTCTGTCCCTGGCACCAGGATAGACATGGCAGAATAAATTGGAACATTTGAGAAAGCATGAAAGCTATTATGTGTGTTTGATTTTTGAGATTTGCAATATTTGTTTAGTTGCATGGGAAGACTCATTTGTTAAAGATTTGAAATTCGTAGAAAGTCAAATATCATGAAATTTTAGGAATGAAATGTAAATATTTTTATAGAACGTTTCATAGAAATTAGCCAAATCTATAAACAAAATAAATTAGAATAAATTTATATGCTGTGCTTAAAAATATAAGGAAGTAATGTTTTGAATTTGTAAGTGTGATACATCAAATATTTACTTTAGTAGAAAGGAGTCTCATGGGCCAGCAAAATGGTTCAGCAGGTAAAACCACTTGTTGCCAAGTATGAGGTCCTGAGTTTGATCTGTAGAACCCACAAAGTGGAAAGAAGGAATTGCTCCCACAAACTGTCCTGTGACATTTATAAGCATACCGTGGTACTTGTGTCCCATCAGAATTATTTAATTAATGTACTAAAAGAATTTAGAAGGAAAACAATCTCAGGGAAGTTGCCAGGACAGCACATACCCTCTCCTCTGCAGTATTTCTGAAAGAGCAGCTGCCACAATGTCCCTTGTCTCTCATATAGCCACAAAATAATGGCCCCAAACAGCAAATAAGCATTTTTACTTTACTACCACTTAGTCTTTATAAAAAACCTCTCAGGTTTTTTTTTTTTTTTTTTTTTTTTTTTTTTTTTTTTTTTTTTTTTTTTTTTACCAGTTGTTCCCCAACTTCCTTTATAGGATAAGAATCCAACTCAGAATTACTTTGTGTTTGGGTGCCATGTCTCAAGTCTCCTGCAGCCTGGGATGGCTTCTCTGCCTTTATTTATTATATGGTCTGTAGCTGGAAAGTTTCTCCGGTCCCGCCTGGCCCCACAGTCTCACCCGGCCCACGGTCCTGTAGTCAGTTATAAATCACTCTGAGACTTAATATTATTTAAAACTGCATGGCCTATGGCAGGCTTCTTGCTAGCTAGCTCTTTCATCTTAAATTAACCCATTTCCATTCATGATGTTTTACCACATGGCAAACATAGCATGGCGTTACTGGTCTGTTAGCATCTTGCTTCTTCTTCAGTGGCGGCTGGTGTCTCTTCCTCCTCTCCTTTCCTCCCTCCGTATATCTGCTTGGATTTCCCACCTGCCTCTAAGGTGCCTTGCCATAGGCCAATGCAGCTTTACTTATCAACCAATCAGAGCAACACATATTCACAGCATACAGAAAGACATCCCACAGCAATGGTCTTAACATTTGAATATTATAAGCATTTCTTTTGCATACTTCCTCAGGATTTGGTCCTTTTAAGTTTTGTCCTGGTTAGACTGGGGTTATACAATGTTGGCAGAACTGTTAGAAGTGGGTGTGAATGCACTATCTCTCCATCAGCTAAGGTTTCCCTTCCCCCTGGAAATGTGACAGGTGACTGATTGGTTCAGACATAAATCTTAGCTGGTAGAAGATAAATTGAATTTGCCGACCACTGGTGATATGCTCCTTGATCACTGGCTGAAAGTGATATCAGCCACCCATTTCCATTGTTTCTTTTAAAAATCATTATATATTCTGTGGACAGGTATTCTGCAACTATACCTTTCCTAATCTGACTTCTAATTTATCCCTCTGTGGTCACTATACACTTGGGTTCCTATTTGTTCCTACTGCTGTTGTTACTGAAACACTCAGCTCTCCCACATTTTCCCAGTGGGAATTCTTTCCAATGGGGATCTGTGTCCTTTTAATCAACCTTGATCACTAACTGCTCTCCGGAAAAGCATATTCCAGATTTGTATTTTCTCTGCCTCATCTCTAGAATCATTTGCTTCCTGGGGATTCTTGCTTGTTTTAGTGAAAAGTGGTGCTGAGGAGCTCAGGCTGTGGCAGCTTCCAGGTTGTCTAAATGGATAGACTCAAGTGCATGCATGTGCACACACTGTGTTTTGTGTTTGCTGTATAGAGTGCATTCACTGAAATCTGGGATTGCACAGACACACCCAATTCCAATTTAATACTCACACTAGCTACTTATTGTTGTAATGAAACTATAGAAAAAAGCACCTTTAGAAAGGAAGGTTTAATTCAGCTCACAGTTTGAACTTCATTGTGGAAGAGACATCACTGAGGCAGGAATATGATGCAGCTAGTCACATTGCGTTTGCAGTCAGGAAGCAGAGAGAGAGTCCACCTGTCAATCAGTGTGTGTTTGTGGGTGGGTATCAGGGCACCAAGGAATGGCACCACCTATAACCCATACTCAGGTTGAGTCCTGCCACATCAGACAAACCTCTCTGGATATGCCAGTGCATGCATTTCTGGAGGTTTGTTTCCTAGGTGTTTTAAAATTTTCTTAACTTGACAATCATAATTAACTTTAACAATTCCATTCTACTCACCCTGCTTGGGATTTGTTATACCACGCTATACAATTCTCTTGCCCTGCTTGAACTCTGTATCTCTGCTCTGGGCTCTCCCCCACTTCAACATGAGGACAGACTCCTACCTTGCTTGATTCCACTTACTTGCTTCACTATGAGATTGATTAGAAAATATATTGGCATAAGAACCAAATATTAATTTTAAATAAAAAGTGACTTTTGAATAGTCTTTCTTGCACAAAGGCCATCCACAGGGCACACTAGCAAAACATGATGGTTTTTCTCATGTCTTCATTTCTCTAAAGTCTTCTGGTTTCCTTTATATTTCATCTCCCGAGCTCCATTGTCATGGGACTCAGGTCATCCAGGCACACAGACATGCTCAACTTTTATTCATTTCATAATTTTACAATCTCACAGAAGGTTTCAGATTTTATTGACTCATTTCAGTGTGACTGAAAACCCTGTGTGTTTTTCTAGTCTAGTCTTCCAATTGGAGCCCCCTTATCAATATTCAGCAATTTGAGGGACAGTACTGCCAGTGATGCCACATGGCATCCTATTTGGTACTAGATTTGGCAACAGTGGGACCTGGAACGTTTTTGTTTTGGAACATCTGAGTTACAAAAATATGTCACCAATTAGCGCATCTTTGAAGTGGCAACAAGCGTCTCCTCCATGGACTTTTGCAACCAGCCTGTGTTCAGAAAAATAAAATAAAATAAAATAAGATGAGAGAGAGAGAAGAAGAAGAAGAAGAAGAAGAAGAAGAAGAAGAAGAAGAAGAAGAAGAAGAAGAAGAAGAAGAAGAAGAAGAAGAAGAAAATAATAATAAAAAGAAAAACCTAAACCAGATCAAGAGGCTATCGGTAAAATAAAAAACAGTCAAGATTACAGTTTTCTTTCTTTGTTAACTTTTATTACTCTTATTTGCCTTCTAGCTATACGACTCATTTATGATTCCACTTTGCTCCTGACCAAAGAATTCATTGAAATGTAGCAAACAATAAGGAAACCATTTACTATGGGTTGCTTATGTCTTCCTTCTGGAAATGTGGTCAAAGAGAACAGCGTGTGTGTAGAGTTCCGTCTGGATGGGGATTCTGGTCGAGTTGTCACCTGGCTGAGCCTAAAACACAAATTGCATTGTTAGTCAAGTCCACGAACATAACTGGCATTAAGTGGGTTTTCTGTTGGATTCGATATTAAAAGAAAACTGGATTGGAAAGGCTGTTTCCATGGAGACCATTACACATTCCCTCCCCTCCATTTCTTTTCTCAGGAGTGGTGATGGGTGATGATTCCTGTCAGCAGCTTCTGCCCGGGTTGTGACATTATTGAAGTACCAGCGATCAAAGTGTGTCCCAGGCTCCAGCTGGTCTAGTAAACCCAGGACTCACTAACCCCAACTCCACAGAAATCTTCACAAAGGGCTCTACAAGCAGATGTTATTTCAGAGACATAATTAAAAAACTATCCTAGTTTTCGCTCCAGTGTGTGCTATAAAGATGTCTACGGTTTGAAGTTTGGACCAGTGGGAATATCGGCCCATGGTGGTTCTCACAAAAAGCCTCCTTCTCATCTGCTTGAAAATAAAATGAACTGGATTATTTTTCCTCTTTAAATTGAAATCTGTGAGAAAAATCTGTTCCTTTTGCCTTTACTCAGGACTGGTGATCGTATAGACCAGCTCAGAGGGAACCATGGGGATAGTGCTTGCTAATCCCATTATTGATAAAGAGAGAAATGAAGAGTCTGGATGAAGTTAATTCTTAAAGGGAAGAAGTTTTACTTCTAAATGATTTGCCTAATAGTCACCATTTGGTCTTTTGTATATTTACTACACAAAACTTCAGTCTTACTAGGTTACTTTTATTCTGTTGTGTACAGAACTGATAAAGAACATAGACCTGGTATTACAGAGAAGTTTTACATTCCTTTTCCCTTGTGACACTGAATTTCTTGCATCATTTGTAAAAGGATATTTTGAGGCTATGCTGTATTAGTAAGTGGTGGGACAATTGTAAAGTCTTTGTAACGAACAAAACAAAAGATGATGGGGGTGTTTCATTCATACACATTTCTGCTATTCTCCGATTTTATGTTACTTTACAATTTTTAAATTCTACAATTTAAAAACTTCTGCTAATGCAAAATATATTCTTATCTACAAAAATGCAAACTTTTGAGTGTTGAGTGGGCGGCAATTAGTATTATGCAGAGGGAAACCATTGCATCTATTTAATCTCAATTTTCCTTATTTCCTGTATGCATATTTCTGCTCTTTGAATTTTCATGTTGTATCATTCTGGTTTCCTCTATAATCGGCAGATGAAGTAAAAATTTTGGAACATTTGCTTTGCATCTGTCTGAGAGTTATGGCTACACCCTTTCCAGAAGACCATCTTGTAAACATTGCAGACATTACTAATACCCAGTAGTTCCTCTAACGGTTGAGTAGCCTGTGTTTCTGAGGGTGGTGTATTCTAACTCTTCTTGGCTCACAGAGGTAAATCTCCAGGAGCAATGAAAGGTTAATTTACCTGATAATCTGTTTCTTTCTGTAGTGATATACTTTTAACTCCTTTTGTGGATTTCTTTTTGTCGTTGAAATTTTTAGAAGTGATAAATTCTCCTCCACTGGTGACAATAGTATCCTCTTTACAGTTTATCATTGCAATCTCTGTGAGTGCTGTGATGGAGGGAAGGGTTAGTCCTCTCCTAAATGAGAGACAATAGGTAACCCAGCTTTTTAAAACTGTTTTCATTGTTTGTCTGCTTGCCTGCTTTAAGGGTAAGAATCCTGTCTTTCTCACTGGGAATGACGGTGACTCTACACAGGGCCTCGTGCTCTCATTCACCCTTGCCTTTGGTCCATGTCAGTGCTCACATCTACTTATTGGCTTCTGTGTGTCTCTCCATGTTGGTGGTCATGATGTAGAGAGTCCTTTATCTTTGTGTGTGAACACACACTATCTTCCTATTTCTGGAGTATAGCAGTTTGCCCAGACTTGATAGGCCTGCTCTACTCACGCTTTCCTTTACCGATTACATCAAAGGGATATTTAAAAACCTGTGTAATTTGACTACATAGAAAAAACACTCTGTCTAATGATAATTTTTTTTGTTCTTTTTGAAACATTTGAAAGCAATACTTTTAAACCATCTTTAGTTTTTTTTTCTCTTTATTTCTTAAGCAATACTCCCAAACCATCTTTAGGGTTTTTTTTCTTTTTCTTTTTCTGTCTTTTTTTTTAAAGAGGCCAAGCCTCAAAGCTCTTTCTGGCAGTTGATCTGGATTTTGGCTTCAAGGACCTTTTGGGGACCTCAAATGGAGAGAGATTTCCCTAAATATATAGCAATTGAGGGTGGAATGTTATGGAGAGAATTTCTTGGTCTTGGATTCCTTCCATTAAGACAACAAACAAAGTTTCAAGATCACAACTTGAGATTCCTTATGCAAATTTCCAAGAAAATTTTAATATTTTATTTGTTCAAAAGTTACATGACTTCAAAAAATGGACTCATTGCACTTGAGAGGCAGGGGCAAGCAGATCTCCAGGAGTTTGAAGTCAGCCTGGTCTACATAGTGAGTTCCAGGACAGCCAGGGCTACAGATAACAAGACATACAAAGTTATAGAGCTTGGAGTTTCCTTTTCTTTTTTTGGTTTTTCGAGACAGGGTTTCTCTGTGTAGCTTTGCGCATTTCCTGGATCTTGCTCTGTAGACCAGGCTGGCCTCGAACTCACAAAGATCCGCCTGCCTCTGCCTCCCAAGTGCTGGGATTAAAGGCGTGCCCCACCACTGCCCGGCAAGCTTGGAGTTTCTTTCTTTTTTTTATTTCTTCAATTTTTATTATCAGGAGTGACTGAAATAAAAAATATAATTGAGTCCCATCATTATTGTCATTATGGAAATGGCTTTAAGAGAAAACTGGTCAGATGAATATTATTGCTTCCCACTTTTCAACTGGTAAATAGTTGCCATTGAAAAAATAGACAAGCCCAGAGAATCTGTCCAGAATGTTCAAGATACAGTATATTATACAACATGCCTGTTCTCAGGAGAACACCTAAGACATAATAATTATGTGTACTTCTTGATCTCATCATACAAGACAAGCACAAAGGCACCACCCATTCCCCTGAGAACGTTGGACCATGCACCCTTGAAGAAAGCCTTGCTTCCTTCATCACGAGCGATCTTCCTCTAGCAGTCAATCGTGCCTGTATACATGATATCAGTTCCTTTGCGTCCCGACTGCATCATCATACAACGGCGAACTGTGTCAAAGGGATAGGAAGTCAGGCCAGCAACAGCAGTGACAGACTGTGCAATCATCCAGCTGATGAAGATGTGAGTATTCTTGGGTTCTGGAAGCATTCCCTTTGCAGTGTCATAGATGCCAAAGTAGGCAGCTCGGTAGATGATAATGCCCTGTACTGACACATTAAAGCCTTGGTACAGGCCCCTAATCCCATTAGATTTGTAGATCTTAACCTGGCAGTCACCAAGGCCTTTGAATTCCCTTTCAGCTCCACCTTTGCCCACATCAGCTGCTAGACAGGTACGGGCAAAATCAAGAGGGTACACAAAGCACAAGGATGTGGCCCCAGCGGCACCACCTGATGCCAGGTTCCCAGCAAAGTAGCGCCAAAACTGGGTCCTCTTGTCCACACCACCCAAAAAGATCTGCTTGTATTTATCTTTGAAGGCAAAGTTGAGAGCCTGGGTGGGGAAGTATCTGATGACATTGGCCAGGTTACCACGCCAGAAAGACAGGACTCCCTGTTCCTTGGGGATACGAACCACGCAGTCTATAATGCCCTTGTATTGCTTATCTGCCGTGATTTGCTTGCTGACATGCTGCACCTGCAGCAGCAGCTTGACCCGCTCGATGGGCGCTACTGCCGTCTTGGAGATGGCCGCGGCCACTCCACCTGCCAAGAAGTCCTTGGCGAAGGATACAGCGGCATCTGTCATGCTGAAGGAAAAAGAAAAGGCAGAGGACTGTGGGACAGGACTGGGTTGACAACCAGCTTTGATTCCCGGGCTCTGGGCGAGCTTGGAGTTTCTAAGCAGCTGTGATGTTTGTATTGTTCATAGCTCTTCTCCCCCTATGTGAGAATGGCGGGGAATCGGTGGAGTCAGCTTTATTTGATGCTCAAGTAGTCTTTCTATGAAATCATTGTGATAAAGCAGGGGAGGATCCAGTTGAAGAAAAACATGGGAAACTTTGAGATGGGCAAAATAAAAAAAAAATCAAATTATGAGTCTCTAGATTACTGACTCATATATATTTTTCATTTTTAATCTACATGACAGTAACAATTCTGTGAATGTTGTAAGTCTGACAATAATTCAAATAATTTATGTGTGGCAGTGTGAAATAAATTGTGTTCAAGTCGAAGGACCTGAGTTTGGCATTGGCTTTGATAGGTTCATGTTGCACTTATTCATGAGCATATCTTAGGATTTCTTACCCTCTTATGTCAGTTCTCCCTTTATGCCTTGCCCTCATTTTAATGAAAATAGATTTTTCTCACACAATGTATCTTGATTACAGTTTCCCCTCCCTCTACTCCTCTCACTTCCTCCCCATGTGCCCTCCCATATAGATTTACTACCTTTCCACCTGCCATTAGAAAAATAAACAGTCAGGCTGGAGAGATGGCTCAGCTGTCAAGAGCACTGACTGCTCTTCCAGAGGACCTGGGTTCAATTCCTAGCAACCACATGCCAGCTTACAACTGTCTGTAAAAAATAAACGGCCTCCTAAGGGATAATTAAAACAAAATATAGTAAGACTGAAATTGGACAAGCCCAGGAGAAGGCACAAGAAACATAGACCACTCATTCATACACTCAGGAATCCCATAAAAAACACTAAACAGAAAGCCATATGCAAAGGACCTGGTGCAGACCCCTGCAGGCCCTCTGTATGCTGCCTCAGTCTCTGTGTTTTAATCTTGCTGATTTAGAGGAGCATGTATTCTTGGTATCCTCCATCTCCTCTGCCTCTTGCACCCTTTTTTGCCTCCTCTTCTGCAGGGCTCCCTGAGTCCTGAGAAAAGGGATTTGATGGAGACATCCTGTTTAGAGCTGAGTGTTCCAAGGTCTCTCACTTG